AAATAATATCAATAGAATCCTTATCCTCCCACGAGTTCATACATACCAAATTTACCAAAATCCAACCACAAATGACCCCTCAAATCCCTAATTTTAGGTCTCCAATTTCTAAGCCCTAAACCCCCAATTTGGCTACTAATTTGCATAGATTTCAAGCTTAAACATGTAAAAACCAACATAGAAACAAGTTTAGGGTCCAAAAAACCTTACCTCCACGAAACCCTCTTGAATTCCCTCTTCAATTTGATCTCCCAAGCTCAAACCCGTATGAAAAGTGAAGAAAAATAACACAAAATCGTCAAGGCCTCAATTTACATGTTCTACCCCAGCAAAACCACTTCTGCGGGCAAGAATCTGGCACTTGCGGACGCGCATTTGCAATCCCAGGTGCGCATCTGCGGAAGTCACTTACCGCAACAAGAATCGCACCTGCAATCAAAATCCCGCACCTGCGCTATCGCTGGTGCGCTCGAGCCTCTGCATATGCAGTTCCAATCCTCCTCTATCTTGGCCGCATCTGCGACCCTCCTTGCACTTCTGTGGGCCCGCACCTGCGGTCCCCAAGCCGCAGGTGCGGTTATGACAGGAACTTCAGCAATTTTAGCTGCCAATGCTAACTCCCAACTTCCCATCAAGCATCCGAAATCACCCCAAGGCCCCCGGGACCTCAACCAAAAGCACGAACAAGTCATTTTCCACTATCCAAACTTATACCAATCTTTGAAACACCTAAAACAATATCGAAACATCGAATCAACCACGAACTCAAGCCTAAGAACTCTAAAAACTTCCGAATTTCGCTTTTGATCAAAAAGTCTATCAAACCTCGTCCGAATGACCTAAAATTTTGCACACACATCCCATGTGACACAACGGACCTACTGCAACTCCTGGGATTCCATTCCGACCCCTATATCAAAATCTCCGCTATCAACCGGAAAACGCCAAAATTCCAATTTCGCCAATTCAAGCCTAAATCTACTCCGGACCTCCAAAATACATTCCGATCACGCTTCTAAGTCCTGAATCACCTCAAGAAGCTATATGAACCATGAAAATCAAATTCCGAGATCGTTTACCCACAAGTCAACTTCCAGTTGACTTTTCCAACTAAAAAGGCCAACTTAAGAGACTAAGTGCCTCATTACTCTACCAAACCATTCTGAACCCGAGCCAACCATTCCGATATCACATAATACAGCTGAACAAGGCATAAAGAAGTAGAAATGGGGAATACAGGGCTAAAATTCATAAAACGACCGGCCGGGTCATTACATTAACTTAGAGTTCCAAGTTCAAAAGTTAAGGACACTTGGTCCTAAAGTTTGAGTTCCAAGTTCAAAAGTTAAGGACACTTGGTCCTGAACTTCAAGTTTAAAGTTCAAAGTTAAGGACACATTGTCCTGAACTTAGACTTACAAATTCAAAAGTTAAGGACACTTGGTCCTGAACTTCGACTTACAAGTTCAAAAGTTAAGGACACTTGGTCCTGAAGTTTGAGTTCCAAGTTCAAAAGTTTAGGACACATGGTCCTGAACTTCGACTTCCAAGGTCAAAAGTTAAGGACACTTGGTCCTTAACTTTTTTAGAAGCACAGTTAACTAAAAATTCATAAACACAGTTAGCTTATGAATTCGTACGATTATTTTTACGAAATATCCTTACATAATCAAATATATTGATTGAACCACAAACACATTTCAATACAAAAAAGTTCTGAATAACTTTCTCACAAAAATCCGCTCCTTATTCCACATTGTATCAAGTTATAATTATTATTTTTGAAATTTCACACATACTTGATGCCAAACACAGCATTGATCGCGATTACAGTTATACAAAAAGAAAATGTATAAAAGCAAAATAAAAAACATACCAGTTCGCTGGTTTGATACAGAGAAGATGACAAAGGAGAAGAGATTAAGTGCAACAAACTACACGCAGAGAATCGCTGGGCAGGAACAAAATCGAACAAGGATTTGCATGCAAGGAACGATACTGATACTGAGGGAGCGAAATTTGCCTCTGAAATTTTGGCTCTCAAATTTTGCCTCTGAACGTATAAAATAAGGGTTTGGGAACATAAGAATAGAAGAAAGAGTAAAACTGTCTTTTCAAAATAATTTTAATAGAGTAGTGGCTATTTTTGCTCAGCATTAGAATTGGTGGATAAAAAATAAACACCACCTTATTTAGTGGCTACCACACGCTATTTTTACTTTATTTTGTCTATCTCTAAGGGATTGTTTGGTTTAGAAGCAAGTTCTGCAAGGTTTGGAATACATGGTTAATAACGCAAGGATTGTTATGTAGTGATAGATTTTACAACAAATTTATAAAATAATTTCTCCATTTATTTTTTGAATGAATTGAAAACCAAAATTTAGAATATAGTATAACTAAAACAGAATGTTTGAAGTGCGAGTACAGTGACATAACTCATGAGGCCGACGTGATCACGTGAAAGCGAGGCTTGATACACAAGCTATCCCAAAAAAGAAAGTTCCAAGTATCTTGGGTCTATAATCCAAGGTAATAGGAAGATTAACGATGATGCCACACATCGTATTGGAGTGAGGTGCATGGGCGGGCCTTCCATAAAGCAAGTAAAGTAATCGCTTTAGGCCCCACATTTGTGGGAGGCCCCATTTTTTGTTACACCTAATATACTATGTATAAGTTTAAAAAAGAGATTCGTAAAGTGAAAAGGTTTGATTTTTTTATTAACAAATATAGAGAAGAAGGATTTGCAACTGCTATGATTTCTACCAAGAAAATTGCACTTGAGATGAATATCGAACCTGAATTACATAAGAAACGTGTTATATATAATAAGTAACAATTTGATGAGAATGTTGATAATGAAATCTCAAAATCTTTTGAATAGTCCTTTAGAGTTGATTACTTTTATACATAATAGACAATGCTATTTTTTCACTTCAAAATAGATTTTGAACAATTCGAAGTATATGAAAATATTTTTGGTTTTCTATTTGGCAATAAAATGTTGGAAATTTGAAAAAATATTGCCTTAATCTTGAATGTTCCTTAAAGCATAATAATCAATTCGATATTGATGGTTTAGATTTATTTTCTGAATTAAAAGCATTAAGAAAAATAGTACAATTAGAAGATAACAGTTTAATTAATCAAATAAAAAGATTTAATTTTTTTTCAAATGCCTAAATTGCGTATGGAATGATGTTCATAACTCATGTTACCATTGCTTCAGCGGAAAGAAGTTTTCAAAATTAAAATTGATAAAATCTTACCGAAGAATAACAATGTCACAAGAAAGGTTAAATTGATTAGCTATATTGTCAATTGAGAAATACTTATTAGGAGTTATTGATTATAAGAAAATTATTAATAACTTTGTATCTAAGAAAAGCTAAAAAAAAATAGACTTCAAATAAATAATTAAAAAAAATTAAAAAGTTAAGGCCCCTCTTAAAGTTTGGCTTTAGGCCACAAAATTTGTCGGGCCGCCCAGGTGAGGTGGATAAACTAGAAGCTCGTATCGGGGGTCTTGTGTGATAAGAATGTGTCAACAAGATTTAAAGTTTTATAGAGTAGTGGTTCTACCGACTATGTTGTATGGGGCGGAGCGTTGGCCAGTGAAGAACTCACATGTACAGAAGATGAAAGTAGTGAAAATGAGAATTTTTAGATGAATGTGTGGGCATATTAGGAGGATATGATTAGGAATTAGGATATTCTGGACAAGGTGGAATGACCTCTATGGGGGACATTATGTGAAGTTGAGGTGGTTCGGACATGTAAAGAGGAGATGCACATGCTTTAGTGAGGAAGTGTAAGAGTCTGGCAATATTGGGTCTAAATAGAGGCAAAGGTATGCCAAAAAGGTTTTGGTGAGACGTGATTAGGCAAGACATGGCACATCTTCTGCCTACTAAGGACATGACCCTTGACATGAAAGTGTGAAGGTCGAGAATTAAGGCAGTAAGTTAGTAGGTAGTCGCGCGTTTTTCTTCTGCATATACCTGTAGAATTACTACTACTCTCGTATTTTCTTATTCTTAGTTTTCTATTATTACTTATTTTTTTGTTTCGATTATCTTATTTTTCTTGCTATTGTTATTGCTTCTTTTTTCATGGTTTTTTTTACTACTGTATTTTTTTTTAATAATTGATGGGATTATGCTTTCCTTGAGCCGAGGATCTATCGAAAATAATATTTCTACCTTTACAAAGTAGGGATAAAGTTTGCATATACACTGTCCTCCTCAAATATAACTTGTAAGATTTCACTAGGTGTTATTGTATGGCGGAAAGCACTTGTTTAAAATATAATTAAAATATCACATTAGAAAATACAAAAAACTGTGTATATTGGTTTTTTGGCTCTTTACAAACTTGTTTTTAGTTTTATGACCCTACGTCTTACGTGTTTCTTTACACATGAAAAATTTACTTTTACACGTAAAAGATGTGTCTTTTTTAATCTGAAAAGAACATCTTCTTGAATTCAAAATTATAATGGGACATGATATACAAATAGCACTAAAATAACTCATGCGGATTAATGCAAAAATAGATCTCAAAACTCATTGTTAACCCTTTCCGTTACCTCGTCCAATAGGAAAAAAATCCGCATGCAAGAATTTCGCTACTCAAAGGAAAATCCAGTTTGTGGGTCAATATAAAACTTTAGGAAGAGAAGGGGGTCAATTATAAAAAATGGCGGAGACTTACTTAGAGTTAGATTACAGCAGTATAACCTAGTAAGAAGGAGCAGAGTTGTTCGGTCTCTGTATATGGTTTGTCTTTCTTTCTCTTTCCCTTTTTCTTGTGGGTAATTTGGTTTTCACACTTGTTCAATCCGTTAACAATTTGATTTTTTCTTTAAACTTTGTGAATCCTTTCACTATTCGGTTTAGGATGCATGTCACTCATATAAATATTGTATCTTCTTTATTTATTCTGTTTCAGGTATATAGTTCCTTTTGTTCAAGATCATAGAAAATAATTTGGCAGAGATGAAAGGGACAGATCAAATTTCCAAACTGCCACAGCCAATTTTGGACTATATTCTGTCTTTCCTTGATATTAAAGATGCTGCTAAAACTAGTATATTGTCCAAGGCTTGGAACAGTGCTTGGACTTCCCTCTCCTGCTTACATTTTGATCATCTTTTATATCCTGTGGCCGAAGAAGTTTTGGGTCAAATTCTGGCAAATCGGCAGAAGCAAAAGATCTTTATACAACGACTCGAGTTAGGTTTACTACCATATAAATGGTCAAAGTCTGTGGATAATTGGATTAAAATACTTGCAGCCTGTAATATCAAAGAGTTGTTTTTAAATGGCAGAAATTCTTACTATAGTTTGCCTAACGCACTTTTTGCTGCCCAAACTTTAGAAGTGCTTAGTTTACGTGGATTTAAGCTTGAACTACCCTCTGATGGCATAAAGTTTTCATCTTTGCGAGAGTTACACATTTTGTACTCATATTTGGACGAGCAATTACTTCAAGCTGTATGCGCAAGCTGTAGGAATTTCAAGTTTTGTCTTTAGGTGGATTTCATGGACCAATCAGTTTACAAGTTGCAGGAATTTTACCTAAACTAAGGAAGGTAAAGTTGCTATATTGCCCTCCTAAATTCAAGATGGTTGATATTGCAGCACCTAATCTTAAAGACCTTGAAATTAGCTCCTTTTGTGAGGACCTACATGTAATTAACATAACTGCTTGCAAATCCATAAAGCATTTGAACCTCACTGCTGTGGCTGTCACTGACCAATGGTTAGACAACCTTTTTTCCAATCTTCCCTATCTTGAAATCTGTTACTTATTTTCTTGTTCGTCGTTGAAGATCATTAAGATTTCAAGTGACCGGCTCAAGTATTTTCAAGTAATCGAGTGCAGTAATCTGATTGAGGTTGATCTGGATGCTCCCAACTTATTAAGATTCTCATCTGATGTTTATTATGGAAAAGATATTGCTCATCTCTTGCCCACATTCAAAATGAAAGCTTCACATCTGTTGGAAGCTAATCTCAATTTGATCCCACAAACCCGTGACACTCACTGGTACACTAAGCTCATCAAGTCTCTTGGTAACTTTAATCATTACAAGGCTATTGTACTGCGCTGTGAGAATGACAAGGTATATATATAGGTGCAACAAATTGTCTACTTGCACCTCTTGAAGAAGTTGTTACGTTCTGGAATTCTCATAATTCTTCTTTTTGTTTGTGCAGGAGATAGTTATACCAAAATACAAGAGAGAAAACTTGCTTCCTCCACTTTATGCTACTAAGATTTTGCACATAAAAATTAGAAATCAGTGTAATTTTTCAGCTGTGAACGTTGTTGATAGTTTGCTTTGGATGTCTCCTCAACTGGACACCCTATCTTTTGGCCAGACTAGAGATTTAAAGAGCATGATCAAGGTAATATGTCTTTCTTTCAAGGCACTAAATTTGTAGTATGTACAGAAAAAATTAGTGGTCACTAATGTTTCTTGCACATTTATTCTTTATGTATGATTTCCTTGCAATTAGTTCATTTTTTTACATGCCATTAATTCTTTGTTTTAGTGACAAAGCCTTCATACTTCGTTTAGATTTTTTTTGTTTACCTAACATGACTCCAATAGTACTAGCAGATTAACCAAAAGTAATAGTTAGTGAACCCTGCCATAAGCAAAAACCAATCACCTACTAACTACTCCCTCCGTTTCATATTAGATGAGGCACTTTCCTTTTTAGTCTGTTCCAAAACAAATGACACATTTCTAAATTTAGAAATAATTCAACTTTAAATTCTTTCATTTTATTTACCCTTAATGAGAAGCTTTTATAGCCACGCAAATGCCATGGCCCCACAAACTTTTTACCCCTTAAACTTTTTAAGACCACGAGTTTCAAAAGTCTTCTTTTTTCTTAAACTCCGTGCCGAGTCAAACTAACTCATTTAATATGAAACGGAGGGAGTAATCATTTTGAAGCCTATTATAAAGGTTATCAAGGTTACAAACTTCTTTATAGCCCCTTAAAGTTGTTTATATAAACTTTTTTTGCAGAAATATTTTTTTTGTTGACTGGTTAAGGGTCAGGAGTTCTTGGATGATGTGTAAACACTTCTGGAAAATATGTATCGTATTGGATAACTTAAACTTTTGTGTCCTCGACCTATTAGTTGGGACTATATTTTAGTCACGATAGTACGTTTATTAGGTCTTATGTTTTTTAAGGAGTCTTTTAATCCTATCTAAGATTTATATGCCAGTAGAAAATATAAAGAACTTCTAGTACTCACCATTGAAGAAGCCTTAATTTCCCACAATTGTTTGATTTTAACATAGTAGGTGTGAATCCACAATCTATCCTTCTTCTTGCACGGGTACCAGAAATGCTTACTCACTCACTGCTGCCTTGTTCCAGATGCAAATATCAATAACAATAAAACCTCCAGCTGATTTAGGATAGCAAACTCTTTCCCAAGCTAATAGTGGTTTCATAGTCATCTCATTGCCTCCACTCCATGATAAAAATCTCATGCACATGGATTCAATCAGGTGTATGATTATGATGGGTCTAAGATGAACTAATTGGAGCGGCATGGTCAGCAAATATTCATATAGTCGTAGCAACTTTCTTGGATTGAGGGGTACTAGTAATTGTTGTTGTTGCATGCTTGGTCAACTTCATTTAGTACATAATAATGGAAAAGTAGGGAAAAATATTCTACACGATACATGACATATACACATGTTATCTGCTCAAACTTAAAATTGTTTTGATACACCTTTGGATAAAGTTTCCCCTTCCCCTCACAGTCAGTGTTTCCTTTTTTCTTCTTTGGGCCCCAGGGTTTTGGTGTGTGTGTGTGTGTGGTGGGGGGGGGGGGGGTAGGGG